TAGTCATCCCGCTGTAGCAGGCATGATATGTTGTCTTCTGAGGGGAAGCCGCCGATGGGTACTGCGCGGATTCGCTCGCGGGCAGGTCGACGGGACTCGCCAAGCGGAGCGCCAACTCATTTTCTGTGGGTAAAGGGTGGGGCAGACGTGTCTCCCGCCAAACCCACATCACGGCCGCGGTGCAGCAAGGATAGCATCTGGGCCTCCCGATGGGGAGCCGCCCCGTTCGCGCTGGGATGGCTGGAACCTTTCAAGGGGAACGCCTCGTGGGGGGAGTCTGCGCGTCACTATCCAGACCCCCACGATATCTGCGATGTAGCAGGCACCGTGCTTGGGCCTCCCGGGGCGGAGCCGTCAGCGGGTGTTGCTCGGGCCCGTTGGCGCTCAAGTGGTCGGGACATCTCGAGCGGAACTCCCGTTGTGAGCGATCGACGTGTCTCTTCACAAAGCCCCCTGGCCCCCTCGATGAAACAAGGATCACACTCAGGCCTCCCAGTGGGAAGACGCCAGGAGGTATTGCACGGGCCCGTTCGCGCTCCTACTGTCTGGCGGAGCACCCGTTTTGGAAAGTCTGTGTGTGTGTGTGTGTGTTTTTGTGTTCGTTTCTCTCTCCGGGGCCCCATCACCACCGCGATGGAGCAGGCATCGCGCTTAAGCCTGCCCGGGGGGGGGGGCGGCGGGGGGCGGGGCAGGGGATTACTGCACGGGCCAGTTCGCGCCTAGATTGTTGGGACCTCTCAGGCGGAACGCCCGTTCTGGGGGGACTGGACGACGACGATAACGATGACGATGACGATGACGATGACGATGACGTCATCGTCATCGTCTCTTTTCAGAGCCCAATCACGACCGCGATGTAGCAAGCATTGCAACTGGGCCTCCCCGACGGGGGAGCCACCAAGGGGTACTGCGCGGGCCCGGTCGCGCCCAGATTGTCGGGGACTTCTCCTGCGGCACGTCCGTTTTGGGGGGCTCGGTAGTGGATGTTGGCCCTGCTCTTCTCAGAGCCACAATGCGCATGGGCACAGCGAGGAACCACCATGGGGTATTGCAGGGCTCGTCCGCGCCCGGATTGTCTGCACCTCTGAGGCACAACGCCTGCTTTGAAAGGTATGCGCGCCCTGGCCAGAGACCCGTGGCCACCGCGACGAACCGCCAGGGCTCCCAAAGAGAAGCCGCCATCGCGGTACTGCATGGGCCCGTTCGCGCTCGGATTGTCGGGGCATCTCAAGCGGAACGCCGAGTTTCTTGTTGGGGGACGGGCCCCTGTCAGAGCCCCACGGTCACCGCGATGCAGCAGACGTCGTACCCGAGGCCCCCCAAGGGGGAAGGGGGAGGGTCGTGGACAGACTGTCGGGACCTTAGGGGGGTGGAAAGATCGGCTTCGGGGGCCGGCGAGCATCCTCTCCCGAAGCCCCATGGTCATCGCATGGTAGCAGGCAGCATTCCAGGGGCTCCCGAAAGGGGAAGCCGCCAAGGGGGGGAGTACCACGGGCACGTGCGGGCCCACATTGTCAGGACCTCTCAGGTCGAAGGGTCAGGTTTTGTGCTGGGAGGAGGAGGAGGAGGAGGAGGAGGAGGAGGAGGAGGAGGAGGAGGAGGAGGAGGAGGAGCAGGAGGAGGAGGAGGAGGAGGAGCGAACGACACGCCGGAGGAGGAGGAGGAGGAGGAGGAGGAAGTCAAGACGTTTGTCTTGCACAGCACCACAGCGATATAGCATGTATGACATGTGGGGGGGGGGCATTCGTGGGGAGGTCGACCAATCGCGTTCCGTCAGGGAGCTCTAGGTGGCCCCAGGCGCTGCAGGAGAACCTCCACGAAGTCCCTGGGCTCCCTGGGACGCCCCAAGAACAGGCCGCAAGACCCCCCAGAAATCTCAAGATAACCCAAGGACCCCGTCAATCATGCCACGCAGACGCACTCACACGCATACACAGCCTGAAGTATGCCCATCATGCCCAGACCCATTCATACGGAGGCACTCTGATGAGCCACTCATGCTCAAATCGACTCACACTCAGGCGCACTCAATCACTCTCAGACTTGTTCATACACATACACCCTCGTACTCAGACTCGCTCAGACTCGGAATCACTCATACCCAGCGCGAATCCCTCCCATACCCACTCATACTCAGCCGTATAGTATTCAAACTCGCTCACACTCAATCTGAGACTCACTTATACTCCAGTTGTCAGCAAGGCGGCACGGGACAAGCAGTGCACATATGGGGATGAGTTGTCATATGCCTCCTCCTCCTGCTTCTCCTCCTCCTCCTGCTTCTACTCCCCCTTCTCCTCGAAGGAGTGGGAAGGCGAGGTTGGCAGGGGCAGGCCAGGCAGCGGCTTCTGCCATGAATCGCCTTGAGAAGTTTTTTCTGCGACTGGAGCTGCTCGGTGACGAGGAAATCTTCGCGCATGGACAGATCCCGCTTCGACGTGGAGAACACCTGCGACAAGAGGATCACAGTTGGCATCAATAAGTCCAATATCATATCCGTCTCGACCGATATGTTCTTTGCGCCGCATCTCTGGCCCGTGCTGAAGGACTCCGCAGAGCCGTTGCGCAATAAGGCTGGATCCTTGTACCGGAAATCCGCCACCGTGCCGTAGGCACGACAGGATTCCATCGAGGCCCTCGTACGCTCCCGCGCGCTCCCCGATGGCGCGCCCGTGTTCCCCTGGGAGTCTCCGAGGTGGCCGGGCTGGGAGGGTGGCCGCAGGCCGCGGCCCTCCAAGCTGCTCTGAGAGACGGCCCCAGGAGGCGATCCTGGGGAAAATTCTGGCGGGAAGTTGGGAGGCAACTACTGGGAGGTCTTCGTCGGAAGAATTGAGGAGGAGTCACTCCCAATGGGGGCTGCTACGTCAGATTAGGCCGCGGAGTAAGCGGGAATAGACCATCTTAAACGAAATTAGGTGGATCTCGGACCATGGCAAAATCAGAATCTGACCTCCCAAGAGTTGCATCCGAAGGGAATGTATGTCCGTCTTGGGGTTTCTTGGGTGCTGGCCCAAAAGGGCCAATACCACTGAAAGAGCGTCCAATGCAGCTCAAGAGGCCCTCACGATCGCCCCAACGGCCCCCTGAGTCCCCACGAAGAAGGAGCCCGAGAGGCGGATCACGAAGAGGCCCCAAAAGACCCCGCGGAGGCTCCCAGAGAACTCCAAGAGGTCCCCAGGAGGCCTCCGAGAGGCCCCAAGAGAGCAATAAATCAGTGAAAGGCCTCCCACATGACTCCAAGATGCCTTCAAGAGGTCCCTCGCCAACGACCCAGGCACGGTGGCAAGATGGGCCGACGGCCACTAGATCCGCCGCCCCCTGTTGATTCATCTGAGGGGTGCCCGGCGTGCTGAACCATTTCGGTCTTGGCTTTGGTTCTTTTTCCAAAAGATAGAGGGAAAAGAACTATGCACATGCACCGATTCTGGCCAGGCCCATCCTGAGCCCAGGATCGGTGCATACGCCCTCCTACCTTGGCCAGGAAGGCATATGCACCGATCCTGGGTCAAAAATGGGCCTTGCCAGGATCGGTGCATGTGCATAGTTCTCTTCGCCCGAAAAAGAACTCCCCGTGGGGCGTCGGCCGATCCCACCAGGGTCAGGAAGGGCGCGCAGAGATGGACAACATGTGGTTCAAAAGGGTTTTTCGGCTCCAGACGGCTCCAAGATGGCCAAGATGGCCTGCAACCCAAGATGGTCCAAGATGGCCTCGAAGACGGCCCAAGAGAGTCCAGGATGCCCCCAAGTTCGCACAGGAAACACCTGAGACGGCCCAAGACGGCCCCAGAGGCCTCCAAGAGGCCTCCACGACGGCCCAGGAGGCCTCGAAGAGGTCCTCCAGGGTCCTCAAGGACGGCCCGAAGAGGTCATAATCATAGATTTCCCTTAGGGATTCGGCCTTCCGACGGCCCAAGACTGCCCAAGAAGCCATCAAAATCGCCCCAAGAGTGCCCAAGAAGCCTCCAAGACGGTTCCGGGACGGCCCAGGAGGCCCCCAAAACGGCCCCAAGAAGGCCGCAAGACGGCCCAGGAGGCCCCCAAGACTGCCAAGATGGCCTCCAAGACTGCCAAAATGGCCTCCAAGATGCCTCCAAGACGGCCAATATGGCCTCCAAGACGGCGAAAGCTCTTTTCCCGGCAGCGAATACATGCTCATGCGAGCGAGGCCCGGAGACTGGCCACTGATCAGCTTAAAAGTGGCCTAGAGCGAGGCCGAGCGGTGCACTCGTTCGATAGCAGAGTCTGCCCCACCAGAAATGCGAAACCTTTAGGCCCCAAGCCGTGGTTCCCAGCCACGGGGAGCGGAGTGCCGACAGGCACGAGGATTAAAAAGGCGAGGGCGTTCAAATGGTATGACGTTCGCTCCACACGGGTGACAACAGAGCCCGAGCTAATGCACTCGCCAGTTTCGGGGGGTAGGCCGCGGCTTCGCGCGCTTCTTTCCTGGAAACCCGAGGTCCAGCTCTGGGCCTCCAAACACAAGCCCAATCGCTTTTCCGAAGGGGCGTTCCGAAAGCACAGTGGTTCACCACGACTGTTCTACACAGAGGATGTCGGAGCAGGGCGGCAAGGGCTGGGTCGTGCCAAACATAGCTGCTATGCGGGCGTTCTATACAAAAAGCGGCTCTCATCTTGATGCGCAGAAGGATAGTCCGCAAGCAAAAATCTAGACAGGTGCTCCCAAGACGAACCTTTTCTCTCTGGATCTCAAGGAGCCCCCATCAAGCCTCGAGGGACCTGTATGCTGCGCAGCGGAATGATCACATTTTGGACGACCGAAAACGAAGTGCACGACGGGGCCATCATGACCCCAATCACCTGGCCTTTCCGCACTGCCCTCCGCAGGTCTGCCTCCGCACAAGGCTGGCAAAGGTCGCCAACGGGGCCTGCCTTCACATCCCACTCGCGGGACGCGCAGCCTGCTCGTCGCGCCGCCGCCACCCACCCTGTCCAACTGAACAACTCGGCCGGGAAAGGGATCACGGGCGCAGCGGCGGGGCCGGCAGCCGGCGCCCACGCGCGAGGCACTCCTCGAGCTGGCGCTCGCAGTCGAGGGCGTACTCCTGCAGGCCGGCGGTCAGCTCCCGCCCGGCATCGTTCAGGCGGCCCGCCTTCTCGTACCTGGCGATGCTCTTGGTGGCCTTCCTTAGCCCCCTCTTCATGCGCTCGTCTAGGCTCCTGGTACGATGAGCCCGATCGATCGAGATCCCGCTGTGGCGGCCCTGGTATGGCACCATCTTGAATCCGAGGGCCACCGCGGCCTTCACGAACATCTGGTAGATCTGGCTGTAGTCCCAAGGGGAGACACGCTCGCCCCCGGGGCCCCGACTGAGGCGATGGAACATGTAGTTGCGCCAGGGCGTCCTGGTCGAGTCCATCACCACCGCGTCGCCTGCCTCGCCTGTCTGGCTGCGGGCGAAGCCCTGGGCAACCGGAAACAGCAGCAGGCACCGCTTGCTCAGGCCGCACCAGGCTGGCGGAAGCAGCGAGCGTCTCGTCAGCGACAGCAGCTCCGACGGTCGCAGGTGCGCCTCCACCATCACGAGCACCGCGATCGCCGCCAGCCCGTGGCCGTGGCGCACCAGCTGCAGCGCCAGCGCCGCCCGCGTGGGCCAGGGCTAGGGTGCGCGGCTCATCGGCGGGCTCAGAATGCGCCAGCCTCGAAGGCATCGGACCGCTCGCGGGAGCTTCCGACTGCCGTTGCGACTGACTGACGCCAGGGAAGGTGAACATCACTACCGCCAGCATGCGCTCCCCGCGCCAGGCGCGGCGGCCCTCGCTAAACTCGGCGTTCATCGATGCAGTCGTCTACTTCGGCATCCTCGACGAGAGGGGCGTTGCGTGTGTCCGCAAAGGCGATCAGCTCGTCCACGTGCATCTGGTAGCGCGCGCGGGTGGCGGCCTTGACGCTGTGCGCCTCCAGGTATGTCTGGCCTGGCGGCAGCTTCATCCTGGCCATCCGCCGCAGCCGCGCCGCGGCCCGCCGGGTGTCGGCGCGCGCCGAGGCTCGCCCCGGCAGCCCCCGCAGCTGCTCTCGCTGGCGTCCTCGGCGGCAGCGGCGGCTTCGCCCGTGGCTCTGGATCTGCCCAAGAAGTCAGCCGCGGCCCGGCCCCAGCGCGTCTCCGGGGCGCGCTCCAGTTCCGTCGGCGACGGCGCGGGCCCGGCGCTCGCCCGCTGGTCCAGGTTGCTGCGGACCGCCCGGCTGAGCGTCCGCGCTCGGCGGGGGGCGCGGCTCGAGGGCGTCGATCTGCCCGACCCGGCCGCAGGCGGCGCCGACCCCAGCGGACGGGTCAGCACCCGCGCCCGGCTGGCCTGGCCCCGCGGGAGCATGCCGCTCGGCCAGCTTCGCCTCGCTGGCAGCCAGACATGCGGCCGCGGTCTCCACGCTGGCCCCGCCCATCTCGAGCCAGGATGGCTCCGGGAGGTGGATCGCCGAGGCCGCGGGTGCGCAACCGACACCAGGGCCGTTTGGGGCCCGCTCCGATCTGTCTCTCTCCCATCCACCACGAGGCAGCAGATGGGTGGCGCACTTATCCGGCTCATGCTCTTTTGCAAACTGTCTGCCCCCCTCGCCGCCGCGGTTGAACTCCGAAGGGGTCCGCCCATAACTGAACCTGAGCCCTCGCCCGAAAGAGCAAGCCGCCGCACGCCGAACCATTGTCGGCAGCTTGAAAACACAAGCCCGCGACCGTGAGAAGGCCAGGACCACCGCCATGTTGTCACCCAGCAGGAAGGCCCGGCCGTCGTGGCCAGCGCGGGGGCTAGCCACGCGTTCCACGGCTTCGACCAGCGCGCGGCCCTCGAGATGGAGGACCCCCTCCTCGTGGGCTCACCGATCGGCTAGGACTGTCCGCCAACGCCACGCATGCAGCAGCTCCGCCGGCACCTCCTCAAACGCGGGGTCCTGGCACCAGCGTTCTACCTCCTCATCCTCGGGCCCCCCCCCGGCGACGCAAGCAGCTCCAGGCCCGCGTCCTCCACGGCGTTCCGCCGCGCAGCCCCCGCCCCCGGGCCATGTCGAGACCGCTCGCAGACGCGGCCCACCCGGCCGACGTCGCGAGGACCCCACAGCGAATATGCCAGGCCAAAGCCCGCGAGGAACGCGTCCGACTGGTAGACCCCAGGAAGCCACCTGGCATCCCAGTCCGCGTGGAGGAAGATCATCAGGCCCGTGAAGGCCCGCAGCTCCTCGGCCACGCTCCGCCACAGCTCGGCCCTGTCGAAGTAGTGGCGCTGGATGAATCGATAGGTGCAGTGGAAGCAACTCAAGCTCTCGCGGCGCACCAAGCCCAGGAACGCGAGGTGACCCACGACGATCTCCATCTCCACGCCGCTCAAATTGCGGCGCCGCAGCAGCGCCTGCACCGCGCCGCGAAGGCGCCAGAACCTGGGGGGCGTGGGTCGCGTGCACCCCTCGCGGCCGTTGAGCTGCACCCCGAGCGCCCCCCCCGCCGTCGTTCACCAGCGCGGTCTCGTGCACCTCGAGCCCCACCTGGCCGAACGACTCCGTGGCCGCCTCCAGCGCCGACCTCACCTGGCCCTCCGAGCCCCCCAGCACCCCCATGTTGCCCACGTAAGTGTAGTGACCGAGGGTCAGCGGGCAGTCCAGCAGCAGCGGGGGGCCGCGGTCCGACATGGGCGGAGCCCCGTCCAGCGCGCGCAGCAGCGCCATGCGATGCGCGTTGGCCGCCTGGGCGAAACGCTGCGATCCGGCCCAGGCGCGCGGGCCAGCGGGTAGAGCGGGCAGGGTGTCCCGCCCCCCCCCCCCCCCGCGGCTGCCCGAGGCCGAGCTCGGCGGCGCGCAGCGGCGGGCGCCCGAAAATAACTCATGGAGATTGGCCCGTGGCCCAGGGGCAGCCTGTGGAAGCAGCCCTTCACGTCGCTCACGCCGAGCCAGGTGTCGAGGCCGCCCAGGGCGTCGTCCAGCTCCTCGCCCCGACCAAGGTCGCTCGTCGTCGACCTCGCGATCCGACTGAGGCCGTCACCGCTGACAAGGTCGACCCTGGGCGGACTCCTGAATGCACGGTTCGCCGGGCGGCAGTCCAGGATCAGCCGCTGGCGATCCCCTTTGTCCTCGACGAAGAAGATCCCCACCTGGCAGCGGCACGTGGTCGACAAGCGCACCAGGCCCATCTTCAGCAGCCGCTTCACCAGGCCGACGTAAGCGGGGCGCTTGCGGCTCAAAACTGGGCCCATACAGGGTCGAACTGGACCGCAACGTGCGTTAATTTCGTCCACCTCCGCAGGCGAACGCATCACGCGGCTCTCATACTCATTCAACTGATGAGTCCGCGCCGCCTCCGGCAGCAGGTCCGCGACGCGTGGCGATCCCGCCACCCTTAAGACATATTAAGTTATTTTTCGGGCGCAAGTTAATTTTTAACTCAACGAAGAAGTTGGGCTTATCGAGTTAAAAATAACTCGGGCAAGAATTAACTCGATAACTCGCCCGCGGCAATTGTAAATTAACTCGAGTTATTTTTTTAACTCGATTTATGCCCAACTACATGTGCACATTGAATTTCGACTTATCGTACATGTGCTACCACCATTACGATTACGAGTCGCAAAAATATGACTATCAGTCGTACTTGCTAGGCAGGGATATATGTGCAGTAGTAGTCAGATCAGTCGTAGTAGTCGTAGTAGTAGTAGTCGTCGTCGTCGTCGTCGTCGTCGTCGTCGTCGTCGTCGTCGTCGTCGTCGTCGTCGTAGTAGTAGTAGTAGTAGTAGTAGTAGTAGTAGTAGTAGTAGTGGTAGTAGTAGTGGTAGTAGTCGAAGTCGTAGTCGGATAGTCATACGAATATTACCACCACTACGCTGACCACTCGTTATACGAGTGTTGTGGCTGCTAGTAGTATTATTGATTTCACTACTGCGGTCCGTTCTGACGACGACGACGATATATGCAACACTTACTCCTAATATGATTACTACTGCTACTACCACGACTACGATTCCTACGTCTGCGACGATGACGACTACTACTCGTAGTACTTAGTAGTACTAGAGTGAGTAAAGAATATAGTCTGTAGTAGTCGTAGTAGTAGTAGTAGTACAAAGGAGTACAAGTAGTAGGTCGTATACGGGATACTACAATACTACTAACTACTTACTAGTTTTGTGGCTGCCTTCACTACTTTACCCTACTAATACTACTACTACTACTACTAGTATCACTATCTACTTGTAATGATACGACTGACGATTGTACTACTACCACGACGATTGGTACTGCTACCACTACGACTACAACCATTATTGCTACTAGTCGTATTACTCCTACAACTTATGAACATTGATGGCGCAGGGGGCGGGGGGGGGTTGCAAGGAGTAGCGACAACGTTCGTGGCGATTTGTCTACACGTGTGGTGCACATCACATGCGTGATCATCCGCAAAACTGTCTTTTCGATTCGCAAATACAACGCCAGCAGAATCCGCCCTCAAACTATCGCGACAAACAAGTCTGCCTGAACATGAAATGGAGCGCACACCTGTACTTGCCAATCATCTTGATAGCTGCCCGCGCAGGCGTGTTCCCTCGCACACAGGACGCGCCTAATAATCTCATCTTGTTCATGAAAGCCTCGCCAGCGTAACACCACCCCCTGCGGGGATTGATGTGGTTGATCTCTAAAGCCCAATGGGCAAGATGGTGTGATTTTTATTGCGACGTCAGACAGGAGCTCGGGCTCATTCCCAACATGCATGGTTGCTGCGTTTTGGCACGCAAGAAACACCCAAACGCAATGTGAAAATTCTTGGCGCTGCGCTTCTGGCAATATGTTCGAACATACGTGGTCCCTTAGTATTGCGTCAATGCGTGCGGACATGCGTAGGCCAAGCTCTATATGTCTGTGCGATGCGTCATCTTCGTCCATCCAACAACGCCAAACCCAAGCTAGTGCTGGCAAGAGGTGTTGTATCTCTGCTGCCTTGCCCTTGAGCGTTGGAAAGTCATTGCGAGGCGCCTTTGGGTTTCTAAACATTGACAACTTTATCCTGCTGAAACACTCTGACTTCGATACCCCGTGCGACGGATCTTCCCACCAAGCTTGGCACTGATTGAAAACGGTTTGCAAAGCAACGGCTGGCTCACTTGGCAAGATGACGTAACACAAGAGCCAGAGGACGCCACCGCAGAAGTACATATCTACCCCTAGATGTTTTGTATGCATCAGATCGAAGCAAATTGTCCAATTCGATACGAAAGGCAAATCAAAAATTTGGTGATGTCGAGGGAAAGCTGCGAGCCACGTTTCCCGAATCCATATTGTGTCGCGCCAAGTCGGACCGTCCTTGCGATTATCTGTAAAAGGCTTAGCCGAAACATTTGCTTGGCACCTTGCGCAGCACGACCTCGCAGTCGGCCACGGCATCCCAAACTCTTTGCTGAGGTATTCGAGGTCTCCTTTGATGCACAGAAGGAGGCCTTTGAATCCGCCAGCAAGTGGCGCCCCAGCACGGGGGTCTCGAATGGGTCTGTTCATCCAGTCAACTACTGGCCAGAGACCACGGAACAATGCAGACAAAGACCAACGCATGATGCGCCAAAACGGCTGCATCGTTCGACACCCAAATGTATCAGCTACAAGCGAATGAAATATCGTATGGAT